AAAAAAAAAAAAGGAAAGAAAGAAAGAAAAGAAAAGAAATATCCAAGCAGAGACCACATAATTCCTTGAAAATGCCTGCACATTTCTAAGGTGAAGCCCACTGTAATAGCCCAGCCTATTAGCAAATTTCATGGTGGTTATTTTAGGCAGGGAGGGCAGAAAGAGCAAAATTGCGGGAGGGAGAAGGGGGCAGAGGAAAGCAAGGAGACAAGGACAGGAGACTTGCACCCATTCCTCATGCCCACATACAGCACACACAGAGTGGGCAGCTCGTGGCAGGGGCTGATGGGAGGGGAGGGAAAGACAGTGATCTTTGGAACTCGGAACTTGTGATAAGGTCTTGGTTTAAAAACAAGACAAAACAAAACACCTGCTGGCACCTCTGTGAATTTCCATCAGAAGAGGAGGCTGGACTTTGGTGCTCAGATTAAAACACACTCATGACTCACTGGCGGGTAGGGTGGTGCTTTCTATGGGGGACAAGTAGGGGCTGGGCTACTCTGCATAAATCTCTGCCCCAAGGTTACAAGGACAAATGTCTCTGATCAGCGGGCCCCCGCCCCATGGGGACAATTTTCCAGGGCTCCAGAGAAGAGGAGGAGCAGAATACCTCTCAGAAATGGAGTCAGGTTGTCCTGACTGGATTCAGACTGTTGTATGGTCACCTACTGGCTGCATAACCTTGGGCAAGTGATGTCACCTGCAATGAGCCTTAGTGAAGACAGTTATAGTGATAATGTGGGCCTTTCTTGTGGATGTGTGTGACTAGGGTTACTACTCAGGTGACATGCATATATGAGTGCTCTCAGCCCAGTGGAAAGTGCTGGGTACGTGGTGAGTGATTCCACATCAGTTCACTTCAGGCTCCACCTGGAGTTTCTCCCCTCTCCAAATCCATGAAGACCTTGGTGACCATTTGGAACTGCCATCTTTCCCTTTGGTGTCCCCTTGGCGTCTGCTTTTTCTTCTTCTTCTCCTTCTTTTTTTCTTTGAGACCGAGTCTTGTTCTGTCACCCAGGCTGGAGTGCAGTGGCATGATCTCGGCTCACTGCAACCTTTGCCTCCTGGGTTCAAGTGATTCTCCTGTCTCAGCCTCCCAAGTAGCTGGAATTACAGGCACCTGCCACCACACCTGACTAATTTTTGTATTTTTAGTAGATACAGGGTTTCACCATGTTGCTCAGGCTGGTCTCGAACCCCTGACCTCAGGTGATCTACCCACCTTGGCCTCCTAAGGTGCTGAGATTATAGGCATGAGCCAACGTGCCTGCCCTGGCACCTGCTTCTATGTCTCTCATGGTCCCCATCTGAATCTCTGCTACATGACCCTGTGGCCCATATCCTATGTGTCTCCACCTTGTCAAGGGCACATCCCTCAGCCCAAGTTGTTCTAGAACACAGGAGGTGTGACAAGCAAGAGGGCCTGAAGCTGCTTGGGACCACTGGGAGAGAAACCAGCTTTTCAGCTTCGTGGCCTTGCCACGGACCACTGGGGCTTTCTCAACTACCCATCCTACCCGACTTAAGCTGCTTGCTCAGTTCCTGTTTCACGAAGAAACAAGGAAGTGAAGAGATGGGCTGGCCTCTGGGCAAAGGCAAGCTGGGTGGGGGTTTGGGGAGCGCCTCCCCCTCCTGGCTGCGACAGGGAGGAAACAGTTGCTACTGAATCTTTCATATTTCTATTTTTTTTTTGGTACCAAGAGTGCCCAACCACTGATTTGAGGAAGCACCCAGTGAGTTGATAAAATTCACTGCTGACGTGGCTTAGCTGGCTGAAAAGTAGCCAGCCCAGCCCCTTCTGAGGCTCCAACTCACACACAGCTGGAACCAGCTGACTGGCAAATGAGCAAAGGCTGACTTAGTTATCATTTCAAAAATGAACTATTAAGTGTCTTACACCTGTAATCCCAGCACTTTGGGAGGCCAAGGTGGGAGGATCACTTGAGGCCAGGAATTTGAGACCAGCCTAGGCAACATAGACACCATCTCTATAAAATAAAACTTAAAAAAAATTAACTAGGCATAGTGGTGCACGCCTGTAGTCCTAGCTGCTCAGGAGGCTGAGGCAGGAGGAGTGCTTGAGCCCAGGAGTTCAAGGTTACAGTGAGCTCTGATGGCGCCACTGCACTCCAGCCTGGGTGACAGAGCAAGACCCTTTCTCTAAAAGAAAAGCCAGAAGGAGTTATTTAGATGATTTGTGTATGTATGCAGCTACTATCATCTTACCTATGCCCTTTTCTATTCGGATTTGAAGCTTGAAGGAGCATAGCTCAACACCACCATCACCATTTTTGTCACAGCTGTGCGACCTCCAACAGGTCTCCTTGGGTCTGAGTACGTTCATTAGGGGCAGTAAGGGAGTAACAGAAGCACACATGGAAAACGAGAGTGGAGCCATCGCAGAGCTGAGTCAGTATGCTGCAGATTTAGTCCTTGCTCTGGCCCTAATGGACTGTGTGACCGTGGGCAAGTCCCTTCCTCTTCCTGGGTCGCTGTTGAAGTTTCTCCACCTGTACACTGAAAGGGCTGCATCAGACTGTGTGTGTGTGTGCGTGTGCGTGTGTGTGTGTGTGTGTGTGTGTGTGTTTGGTCATGGAGCTCCTATTCAGTATTGGCTCTGGAATTTGGAGGACTTGGTGCAAAATGAAAATGCCTAGTACCCCTTGCTTAAAAATTATTGAGAATTTTGAGACACTGACAGGCAAGTGTTAAACCAAGCACGGGGCCCTTCTAAGCACAAAGTCTTGAGGGACTGCACAGGTCATACACCTGTGAAGCTGGCCTGCGACTACTTCAAATACCATTTTATGGGAAGCCCATTAGGGCTACTTCGTGCAGGAGCTCCAAATAGTCACCAAGGTCTTCATGGATTTGGAGAGGGGAGAAACTCCAGGTGGAGCCTGAAGTGAACTGATGTGGAATCACTCACCAAGTACCCAGCACTTTCCACAGAGGCTGTTTTCCTCAACAGCCTCTCTAGTGTTTCTGAGGAGGCATCGCAGGCTCCTGGGAGCATAGTTGGGAAGATATAAATTAGATGTTTGCACATTAGCTGGGATTGCAGGCATGCGCCACCATGCCCAGCTAATTTTTGTATTTTTAGTAGAGTCAGGGTTTTGCCATGTTAGGCAGGTATCTTTCTAGTTTTGACTATTTATATATAAAACTTGGGTCCCAGATCTTTTTCTTACCTACCTGCAAAGGTGAAGCAGAGTTGAACTCACGCTGGGCGAATGACAGCAATATCATCTCTTGTCTGTGTGGCTTCCTGGTTTAGAATGCTGCCACATCCGGGTCTTACGGGCCTCTCACCATAACCTCACCAAGAAGGCAGTATGAGAGCTTCTAGAAGGGATAACTGAAGACCAGAGAGAAGTGATTTGGCCAAGGTTACACAGTTGGCACAACTGGGACTCGAACCCTGGAATCTTAGCTTCTAGGAAAAGGGGCTTTTCCACATGGCCTGCTCCCCAGGCAATCAGCAGGCGAGGAGAGGTTTGCTAAGCCCCATTCCCATCCTCCAACATCAAAACAAAGGACTGGAGCCCGAGGAGACAGTTCCTAATGATCTCTCATTCTTAACAACGTCACAAGAGTCCCTGTGTATCAGCCTGGGTGTATGTGCCCTGAATGTTTTCCTGCCTGACCCAGAGTGAACCCCTTAAAGCAGGAATGGTCAAGGCTGTCCATTTGGGTCCCAGAGGAGGGTGAGTCCTCATTCCAACCATGTTCTAGGGCAGGATTCTTCATCCCAGAATGGTGGGTTGGAAGGGCAGTTAAGGAGACTTGGAGACGAGGTGGAGTCCTTGGTCTTGCACTGAGGAAAAAAGCACATGAGCTGCCTCGGGGTGAAAGGCCTTTGTGTGGGTGTTGGTCAGGGGCCTGGTCTTGCCACCCATGACCTGCCAGAACCACAGGAGCAAGTGTCAGGGCGCAAGGCAAAGGTCTGGCAGGCCCTGGGGAGGCATTGTGGTGTGGATCTGCTTCTCACCAGCAAAGTGGTCCTGCTGCAGCCTGTTTTCTCATCAGTAAAATGGTGAAAGCCATATCACTCGCCCTTTCTTTTCTTTTGAGACGGAGCTTCACTCTGTCACCCAGGCTAGAGTGCAGACGTGTGATCTCCGCCTCCCAGGTTCAAACTACTGGCTTGCGCCACCACACCCAACTAACCTTTCTATTTTTAGTAGAGATGGGGTTTCGCCATGTTGCCCAGGCTGGTCTCGAACTCCTGGCCTCATGCGATCCTCCTGCCTTGGCCTCCCAAAGTGCTGGGATTACAGGAGTGAGCCACCACACCTGGCCAGGACTCTCCCTTTCTTTGAGGGTGGATTCTAGAGTTCTCTGACTGGTTTAAGATCTGGCTTTTTTCATTTACCCAATGTAAAAAGTGACCTTGAGCCACTTAGTGAAACTCCATGGGCCTCACTAAGTTACCCTACTTGTAAAATGGGAATAAGAAAAGGGCCTTCTTAGAGGTTGTGAGGATTAAATGAGAAAATGCATGTAAAGCTTCTTCCATGGTGGCACAAAAACACTCAGTAAATGGCAGCCATGACGATGATGATGGTGATGGGGACTGTAATTTTATTAGTAGTAGCTGTTTTTGTGAGGTGAGCAGGTGAGGGAACAAATGACTCAGCAAACAGAGGCCCATCTTTGTGTTCTCAGTAAGCCTGGGTGAGGGCTGGGGCCTCTGGATGCCAGTACTGGTGGTGGTAACCATTACAGGTCACCCTCACACTCAGCAGACTAGGCCTGATGGTCCCAGGCCAGGGGATTTCTCTGCCTGGTACCTTTGCCCAGCACCGTGCACCCAGAGCCTTGGTCCTTTCCTTCCACCAACTGTGCTCTGCTTGGCAAAGGTGCTAGCTCCAACTTTTCTGGGCAACATTTGACAAGTTTCCCAGTGTAGGGTTTCTTTCTGTCTCCTCTACAAGGTTGCAATATCCTTAGCACTGGCTGGAGGTTAGCTGGTTGGGCGTGGCATGCACGTGCGTCTGCGCACATGGGCACACATACTCATATACATGCTCACCCACACGTTCTCAAGCCCACGTGCTCCCCCGCTGAGCTTCTAGGAGCCTCAAGTCCCCACCCCTCACCTCCCCTTCTCTTCCTCCTCCCCTACCACAAAAGCCACAGGTGACAGCAGTCTCTGGCAACACAGCAGACACAATGCAAAACTCAGAGGCGAGTGTCTTTGCTAGGGTGTTTTAAACGTCTTAGCAGGATGTGAACCCAGGTGGTTAACGGCCAATTTGGCTGGAGCAAATTCTTCTCACCAGAGTGGGCTCAGCGTATGAGGAGAGGGCTGGGAGGTGGGCTCAGGGACTGTGGATGGTGCTGAAGGGTGAAAGAGCTGGAGTGCCGGCTCATCTGGCTCCATCAGCTCCCAATCAAATGCGTGCCCTTGGGCACGGCCCACCCCCTGTCTGAAGCTTAGTGTTCCTGTCTGTAAAATGGAGAAACCAGACACTGTTTACACAAGGTGAAGGGCCATCCAATGATGCGGGAGGATTTAACAGCATCGTAGCTGTGGCTGCGTGTTGGAATGTTCAAAGGGCTCCCCGAATGCCAGGGAGGTCTAGAATAGTGACGTGGTCCGGCTGCCCAAGTTTATTCTCCAGCCTCTGGTAGGGTCATATTCCAGAGTGCCTCACCGCATTCCCTCCTGCCCCACAGCCAAATTCCTATGGCTTAACTCCCTTTGCCGTTACTTGGCATAGAGCCCACCCAGGGTTTAGGAATCATGGGTTCACATGTCGGGGGTTGTTGGTTCGTGCTCTGGCTGAGTGGAAACAGCTGTGGCGATGCCCAACAGGTGGTGATAGGTTTGGGCTCTCCTGGGACCATGGCACCCCTGGGTGGTAGGGGCATTGCTCTCTTGGGCTTTTGTTTGGCGGGAGGGGAGCAGCTGTAGCAGTTTGTACTAGGTTATAGGTTAGGCCTACTGAGATCCCAGGAAAGAAGAGTCTAGCTGGCCCTCCTATCCCAGGGCCTGGGGTTAGGAGCCCAGGGTGCAGTATACAACCCCGGGGGCAGGGAGGTGCCACCTGGGGCCAAGAAGCTCTGTGCTCCTGGGGCCTGGTCTTGGAGAAGGAGGCTGAATGCAGTGGTTTCCAGGCAATGGGCCATCAGGGGCTCTTGGAGTATGTTCGGTGCAGGGTGAGGGGAGCCAAGCAAGGGAGACACGCGTCTAGATGGAGGGTTAACAGGGAAGTCTTCTGGAGCCTCTAGACACTCCAGCCGAGGATGGCAAGAGTGGAGACCGCTAACACAGAGGCCCAGGAGGCGGGGTCCAGGGCCCCGGCGGACAGGGGCTCTGTGTGCTGCTGCAGCCACTGGAACTCCTCCAGCAGTTGGCGCTTCTGCAGCTCTGGGCCCACCTTCTCCCGGATGGTCTGGTAGTAGCGATTCAGGTACTGGAGCTGCAAAAGACAGAAGGAATGAGAGGCTCTCCAAGCCAAGCTGCCAAGAGGTGCAATCTTGGTGACACCCACTCCCCTGCTGTGGTACTCCAGCTGTCCACCATGATCCAGATGCCCACAGGTCCCCCACCATCATCAGGCCTCAGGAATTCTCTGGGGCTTTCCAGAGGCAGTTCCCCTCGGCAGCTGTTTCATGTCATAGTGATGTTCATGGGTGGTGAGGCGGGTGGATTTCAGGCCGGGAATGGGAGTAAGCTGGGCAGGCATTGTTATCCTCAGCTTACACAAGAGGAAACAGAGGCGAAAGAGTGGAAGGGATCACTTACAGCTCCAGGCCTTGTAGTGGCCGAGCTCAGAGGCCCAACCTCAGAACCCCCAGTTGTTCACTACCTAGGGTTGGGAAGGCTGGTTTGACTGGAAAGTTCTAGAAGCTCTGGGATCTCTGGTGAGCTGGGGAGGAATGCCCCAGCGTGTGTCTGCAGGTGCCACCAATGTGGACCCTCCTGAGGGAGGGGCAGGGACAGAGGATGTGGTGGCAGGTAGCAAAGGCAGGAAAGGCCCAGGGTCAGAGAGATGGCAGTGCTGAGGGGCACTCACATGCTCGGGAGACAGCAGGCTGACATCGATGAGGTTCCGGTCATAGGGCACAAATGATACCACCTCAAAGGTCAGGTAGCTCCCTGGGTACTGGGAACCCACAAGAGAAGGCGGGTAAGCAGGACAGTGAGGGAGGAGGAGGAGCTGGGCTGAAGGGAAGGAGGGAGCACTCCACCCAGAGGACACAGCAGCTGGGCCTCATCAACCTGGACACTCCGGGTAGGCTGAGCCTTCTAGAGTCCCTTCTCTTGGCGAGCCCCGTTGTCTGCCACTTAGTGCTCCTTCTTTGGTGCTTCCTTCCTGACTTTGGAAATCTAGACTTAAGTTTGTGTTTTTCAAAGTATGCACATCAACAGCACTTAGGGAGCATGATAAATATGCAGAATCCAGGGCCCCCCTCCCAAACCTACTGGAGGCAGAATCCTTAGGGCAGGGACCAGAAACCGAAATTTCAATCATTTTATTTTATTTTTTTGAGACAGGATCTTCCTCTGTTACCCAGGCTGGAATGCAGTGGTGCAATTGCAGCCCCTTGCAGCCTCGACCTCCTGGGCTCAGGTGATCCTCCCACCTCAGCCTCCCAAGTAGCTGGGACTATAGATGGGCACCACCATGCCCAGATAAGTTTTGTATTTTTAGTAGAGATGAGGTTTCACCATGTTGGCCAGGCTGGTCTCAAACTCCTAGGCTCAGATGATCCACCCACCTCAGCCTCCAAAAGTGCTGGGATTACAGGCATGAGCCATCATGCCTGGCCTTAAATCATTTTAAAATAAATGATTATTAAGTTTTTCAATCAATCAATCAAACAATCATCTATGTAATCTATCTATTCATCTATCCATATCTCTATGTATCCATGTATTTATTGATCTATCTATATAGACAAATGTAAAGAGGAAAAAGTAGCCCATAATTCCCATCTCCCATAGAACCCTTGTGTGTATGTGCTTAGGAAACTCAAACTACACAAAGATACACAATACAAGTTGAAAGTCTCTTTTGGCATGGTGGCCCATGCCTGTAATCCCAGCCCTTTGGGAGGCCGAGACAGGCAGATCGATTGGGCCAAGGAGTTTGAGACCAGCCTGGGTAACATGGTGAAACCCCGCTGATATGGTTAGGCTTTGTGTCCCTGGCCAAATCTCATTTTGATTGTCCCCAGGGTATTTAGCGAGAGACTTGGTGGGAAGTGATTGACTAAGGGGGTGGTTTCCTCCATGCTGTTCTTATGATAGTGAGTCCTCACAAGATCTAATGGTTTTTTGTTTGTTTGTTTCTTTTGTTTTGTTTTGAGACAGAGTCTCGCTCTGTCGCCCAGGCTGGAGCGCAGTGGTGTAATCTCGGCTCGCTGCAACCTCCGCCTCCCAGGTTTAAGCGATTCTCCTGCCTCAGCCTCCCGAGTAGCTGGGATTACAGGCACACACCAGCATGCCTGGCTAATTTTTGTAGTTTTGGTAGAGACAGGGTTTCACCATATTGGCCAGACTGGTCTCAAACTCTTGACCTCAGGTGATTCACCCGCCTCGGCCTCCCAAAGTGCTGGGATTACAGGCGTGAGCCACCACGCCCTGCTGATCTGATGGTTTCATGAGGCAGTTTTCCCTGCTCTTTCTAGCTCTCTCTTTCCTGCCACCATGTCAGGATCCTTGCTTCCCCTTTGCCTTCTGCCATGATTGTAAGTTTCCCGAGGCCTTCCCAGCCATGTGGAACTGTGAGCCAATTAAACCTCTTTTCTTTATCCAGTCTTGGATAGTATCTTTATAGCAGTGTGATAACAGACTAATATACCAGTCTCTACAAAAAAATACAAAAATTAGCCAGCCATGGTGGCATCCATCTATAGTCCCAGTTACTTGCAGGCTGAGGTGGGAGGATCACCTGAGCCCCGGAGGTCAAGGCTGCAGTGGGGCCATAATCCTGCCACTGCACTCCATCCTGGGCAACAGAGCGAGACTCTATCAGAAAAAAAAAAGAAAAGAAAAGAAAGAGGCTGGGTGCTGTGGCTTACACCTATAATCCCAGCACTTCGGGAGGCCAAGGTGGGTAGATCTATTGAGGTCAGGAATTTGAGACTAGCCTGGCCAACATGGTGAAATCCCGTCTCTACTAAAAATACAAAAATCAGTCAGGTGTGGTGTCGGGCACCTGTAGTCCCAGCTACTCGGGAGGCTGAGGCAGGAGAATTGCTTGAACCCAGGAGGTAGAGGTTGCAGTGAGCCGAGATGGTGCCACTGCACTCCAGCCTGGGTGACAGAGTGAGACTCTGTCTCTTAAAAAAAAAAAAAAAAGTTTAGACTTGTTCAGTTTCGCTCCTGAGAACATTTCAGGCATACACAGCATATGTATCTATCTATGTATATATTTTGAAAATCCACACAAAATGGATTCTACCATACATACTTTTCTGCACCTTCCTTCCCTGCCCCACTGCCCCTTACTTGTAAACCTAGAAGAGTGCTTCACAGTAGCGCAGGGAGATCTATCTCATTCTTTTTAAGGGCCGTGGAAGACTCTGTAGTGTGTGGATGTCCCATGGTTTATTTAATCAGGATATTGAGTCCACTGCCAAAGTTTTGCTATTTTTACCATCAATGCTACAAGTCAACATCACTATATAAACATCTTGGTGAGCTTTTGGGACCATATCTAGAAGGTACATACCTGGTGTAGGGATTGCCAAAACAAAAAGAACAAGCGTTTTTAATAGGTAATTTCATAGATATTGTCAAACCACCCTCCAGAAAGGTTGCACCGATTGTACTTTCTCCAACAGTGTATGAGAATGCCCATTTCCCCACATACTCACTAGTACTAGGTATCATCAAAGTCACTGATTTTTGCCAATCTGATACGTGAAACATGGTATTCTATTGTTCTTTTGATTTGCATTTCTTTTCTTTTTCTTTTTTTTTCTGAGATAGAGCCTCCCTCTGTCGATCAGGCTGGAGTGCATTGGTGAGATCTTTAATCACTGGAATCTCTGCCTCCTCCTGGGTTCAAATGATTCTCTTCCCTCAGCCTCCCGAGTAGCTGGGATTACAGGCATGCAACACCATGCCCAGCTAATTTTTGTATTTTTAGTAGAAACGGGGTTTCACCATGTTGGCCACGCTGGTCTTGAACTCCTGATCTCAAGTGATCCACCCACCTCGGCCTCCCAAAGTTCTGGGATTACAGACATGAACCACCGTGCTGGGCCCTGATTTGTATTTCTTTAAGGATGAACTTGAGCATCTTTCCACATGTATGTGGACCATTTGGTGTTAACTTACTGAATTGCCTTTTCATGTCCTTTGCGCTATTTTTTCCTGTTTTGCCTGTTTTTATCTTACGGATTTGTAAATACTCACGGCAAAATAAGAAAGTTCACCCTCTCCCTGTGACATGTGCTATATTTGTCACACATCTCTTGGCTTTGTTTATGGCGTTGTTTCCATAAACATTGTTTCCATTTTCTATTTAGTCAGAGTTATTAATCTCTTCCTTCAGGGTTTCTGGTCTTGCACAGAAAGACTCTTTTCCACCCTGAGATTATAACTGAATGTATATAGGTTTTCCTCTACATCTTTTGTGGTCTCGTTTCTCACCTTAAAACTTTGGCCCATCTGGAATTTTATTTTGGAGGTTATTCAGTTTAATCCCCCCAAATTAGCCATTTGTTCCCTCTGTTTATTTGATGAATAATCATTTTTTCTGACTGTTTTGCAACATCAGCTTTCTTATAAACGAAATTCCCATGTTGTTTATGGGAATGAGAGTGTTTATTTCTGGACTGATTATTCTGTTCCATTGTTACAGCTGTCTATTTCATCTCATGTCATACTATTTTAGTTATGGGAGTTTGTGTTCAAATCTGAGAGGACTGGCTTTCCTTATTGTTCTTTGTGTGTGTGTGAGATGGGGTTTTGCTCTGTCACCCAGGCTACAGTGCAGTGGCATGATCATGGCTCACTGCAGGCTTAACCTCCCCAGGCTTAGACGATTCTCCCACCTCAGTTTCCTGAGTAGCTGGGACTACAGGTACATAACACTACGCAGCTAATTTTTTTTTTTTTTTGTATTTTTCTGAGAGACAAGGTCTCGCCATGTTGCCCAGGCTAATCTCAAACTCCTGAGCCCAAGTGATCCTCCTGCCTTGGCCTCCCAAAGTGCTGGGATTACAGGCCTGAGCCACTGCGCCTGGCCCTGCTCTTCTTTTTCAAAATTTTTTCTAGCTACTTAGCTATCTTCACGTTTATTTTTACAAATAAACTTTACTATCATTTTGTGAAGTTACAAAAGTGTCCAGTTAGCATTGAAATGGAGGTTGTCTTGAATTTATAGATTAATTTAGAGAGAAATGATATCTTCATAATATTGAGGCTTCTCTCCAGAGAGCACCATTTACTTAAATCTTTTTTATGTCCCTTAGTAGAGCGTTTCTCCATGTAAGCCTTTTCAAGTTTACATCTAGGTATTTTATCATCTTGGCTGCTATTACACAGAATCTTTATTTCTAACAAGCTCCCCTGGTGATTATTATGTGCATTGAGAACCGATGATTTAGGACAGGGATATGGATTCACTTGGTCTGGAGTGGGGCCTGGGCATTGGCATTTAAAGCATCAAAAAGCCTCTCTGGGTGATTCAAATGTGCAAGCAAGTTTGAAAAGTCTGACTTATGGAATTGCTAAGGAAGACTCCAGATAAATTCATGCCTGCACACTAAATTCCCTCCTCCTTTGATCTTCCTCCCCCTTCTCCTCCCATGCAGCCCAAAGTCACTGACATGCCACCCACACCTCCAGCCCATCCTGGTGGCACTTTACCTTGGTCTTTGCTTCTACCACGAGAGCCACGTCTTCAAGACGGATCCCAAATTCTCCATCCTTATAGTAACCAGGTTCTGGAAGACACAGAGGTGCTGGTGGCATTAAGTGGGGGGAGGGCCCAAGCCCAGGCTTCCTGTACCTACTGATGAGTGGCTGGAGGGCCTGGCTGCCTGCTTGTCCCCTGGCTGTTGACTCTGGCAGCCCCACAACTGGTTAGATGCTTGTTGGCTAAGCAGAGGCAACCCATCCCTGTCAGGCCTCACACCCCCCACAGGCGCATCGCTAACTCACCCTTTCTCCCCTGTAGCCCAGCAGGGAAGCCCTAAAAGCCCACTTGGGTCCTGAAGGTACTCCCATCTCCCTGGATGCCACTGTCCTGTTACTCTAGCATTAGGCAACTTCAGGGTCTGAATATATAGTTGGGTCTACAGCCATAGCACCCTGAATGTGCCTGATCTCGTCTGAATATACAGCTAGGAACTAACTCCCAAGGGCAAAAAGAGGGTATGGGCTGAGGGGAGCTGCGGTTAGGGTGAGACAAGCCATTTGGGGCTGGGCGTAGGGGTGGGAATGGGGAGCTGAGTCTGAGCTGTGTTAGTGCCTGTGGTGCTCCCCTGGACTGCAGTCCTGGCACACCCTAGACTGCAGTCCTGGGCTAGCTCTGCTCTGGGATGGGGTGGTGAGGTAGAGGGACCCGAGGGCCGTACCAATGGAAGTGAACATGCCCTTGGCCATGGCGATGTTGTTGGACTGGAATCCCACTGGCCCTAGAAAGGAAGACATAGCATGGTATCAGTTCTCCTATATGCACCAGCTTGGAAGTCAGCGGCTTACAGGGAACAGCAGATAAGTGTGGATCCCTGAGCATCTCTGCGACACGGTCCATTGCATCATTGTCTGCCTGGGCCTGGCACACACCAGATTGGCTCTGGCTTTTAATATTTATTTAGGTAATGAGAGGGGTCTTGCTGTGTTGCTCAGGCTGGAGTGCAGTGGCGCCATCACGGTTCCTTGCAGCCTCGACCTCCTGGGATCCTCCCACCTCAGACTCCCAAGTAGCTGGGACTACAGGCACATGACACCACATCTGGATACTTTAAAAACATTTTTCATAGAGACAGGGTCTCGTGGTGTTTCCCAGGCTGATCTCAAACTCCTGGCCTCAAGTGATCCTCCCACCTTGGCCTCCCAAAGCACTGGGATTATGGGTGGGAGTCACCGCATGCAGCTGGCTCTGGCTTTGATTTCTCTGGGGTCTATACAAGTTAGCCACTAGGCCTTGAGCCTCTTTCTGGTGCCCTCTTGAATGCCAAGCAGCCAGCAGGACTGGCCTGCTGCTGGTATTCCTCACTTACCCCGTGGAGCTGGGTAACTTTGGGTAGATCATGGCACCTTGGTGGATCTTGGTCATTTCCATACCTGTGAAATGCTCTACCTCCTTCATAGAAGGGATCATAAAAGGGGGGACCCTGGGGAGTGCTGAAGAGACACCTACACTCATGCACACACAGGAAGTTGCCAATGCCATGGCCTGTCCCATGACCATAATTGAGCCCAACATCCCACAAGGCTCTGCGGGCAAAGGCCTCCACCATTCGCCCTGGAAGGGAAGAGAGATTGACCCCAGTCAGATGGCTGTCCCCAAGATTGTCCGCCTTGCCCCTTTCCTGCTCCACTATCAGAGTGGTGCCTAAGAAGAGGGGCCCCTGAGAGGCCACTAAGCATGCACTGATGCAATGATTTTGGGTTGGGATGGAGAAGAGCTGATGGACAGAGTTAGTGGTTCCCTGGCCAGACCAGCCCATCACTATCACCAGCTTATACATTGTATCCATTACTACAATTTCTTCCCATCTGTCAGGGCTTTGCACTTTGACACCTACTTCCTCTAAGAAACCTCCCATAACTGCTGTGGCCCAACTGATCTCTCCCACCTCTGAGCAACAGTGTTAGATTATGAGGCAGGAGACTTGAGTTCAAGGCCTGGGTGTCCCGCTAACATTCTGCATGACCTTGGCCAAGTCACTTTCTCTCTCTACGCTGGATTTTCTCATCTATATGAGGGATGGGATGGTGACAGAATCCCTGCCCCACCAGCCTCTCAGGGTGATGGTCCTAGTCCTGTGAAATCAGGGCCTGAGGCTGTGTCCAGCCTGGTTTCTGGAACCCACCTGATGTAGCAGCAGGAAAGATGAGCCTGGACAGGTCAATGTTTCCTATCAGCACACGGGTGTACGCCTCCTGATGGGGAGAGGAAGAGGTGACGTGGAGGACGGGAGCAGGAGTCAGGGGAGCTTCCAGGCCTGGGTGTGTGTGGGCAGGGTGGGGGGAGTTGCATCATCGTGTGTGGCTGCCCGTGTTCAGGAAGATGGTCAGTGGAGGCTGAGGAGGGCCTTCCCAAAGCTGGGGCTCCATCACGTGCTTCCCACTGGCTGGTCTATGAGGGTCATTACTGGATATAATCCCAGCACTTTGGAAGGCTGAGGCAGGCAGATCACCTGAGGTCAAGAGTTTGAGACCAGCCTGGCCAATACGGTGAAACTCTGTCTCTACCCAAAATACAAAAATCAGCTGGGCATGGTGGCACGTGCCTGTAATCCCAGCTACTCGGGAGGCTGAGGCAGGAGAATCACTTGAACCCGGGAGGCGGAGGTTGCAGTGAGCCGAGATCACACCACTGCACTCCTGCCTGGGCGACAGGGCAAGACTCAGTCTCAAAATGTATATATCTGCAGGAGACACTTGGTGGCAGTGAGCCGAGGCTGTGACTCCCTGGGCTGAAACCTGACTCAGCCACTGACTCTGTGACCTTGGGCAGGCAACTTTAGCTGCTGTGTGCCTCAGTTTCCTTATCTGCGATGGGACGATAACAGGTCCTAGCTCCTGGGCTTGTTGGGAGAGGAGGGCGGACTAAGGAACGGAAGGCGGTGCCTGCAGTGCGCAGGCTTCACGGAAGGTTAGTGCTCTCATTCCTGTGGTTGCGACAGCTGTTGAGTTTTCTTAAGGCCTTTCATGAGGGTTGAGGTTTGCTGATTTGGCAGCTTAGCCTTCCTCTGTCAGGGGAGGGAGGTGGGCTGACAGTGGCCTCTCCTGGTCATGTCCAGAGGCGATGTGGTCAATCCCCTTCGCTACACATGTGCACATGCTGTGACATTGTGCAGGACAGCCAGGGGCAGCAGACCCCGCTAAACTGTGAACTGCTGGAGGCTCGGACAGCATTTGGTTCCCCTCTCTGTTTCCAGCACCATGTCTGCCCCATGGTCGGCCTGCTGAATGCAGCATGGCCGCAGCTCAGCTCGCAGGCAGCTCGCTGCTCCACCCCCAGGGCTCTCTGGTGCACAGAGACAATGCCCTTGCCTCTGCCCCAGCTGGCAGTCCTCGCTGTTTCCCGAACACCTCTGGCTCCTTCCCATCACGGAGGCTTCACTTGTGCCATTTTCCTCCACTTGGGATGCCTTTATTTCTCCTTTCCGCTGAGTACAGGGCCAGGCACGCAGGCACCAAAAAAAAAAAAAAAAAAAAAAAAAAAAAAAAAAAAAAAAAAAAAAAAAAAAAAAAAAAAAAAAAAAAAAAAAAAAAAAATCTGTGCACTGATTTACCGGAATAGGATGAGGCTCAGCTTGGGCTGAGACCTTGTCAGTGGCCTGAAATATCCCCAGGTAAGCAGCAGGGAGCACTGGGTTTTCCGGCACCAACTGTGTGACCTTAGGCAAATGACTTAACCTCTCTGAGCCTCAGTTTTAGCCTCTGAAATGGAAGCGATCTTGATTGCTTGGGTGCCCCCTTGGGGGAGGGTGGTGAGGGGAAATCTGGGCCCAGGCTTACCTTCTGGAAGGCGGAGGGGGTGCCCCAGTGGACCGTTCTGGTGATGTCTGTGGTCCCGTCCCTATGGAGAAGGGAAACCAACACATCCTGCTCTGCCAAATGCCTGGGGCTAGGGACTGGGCCCATGTGCTTTCTGTGTGCTTTCCACAAATGGCAGGGCTGGGCTGGGGTGAGTGGATGGCGAAAGGGAGCAGACAGTTACCATAATCAAAATCCCCAGCTTTGGTGTCTATGCATAAAAGGCCTCTGCAAAGCTATCAAGTTAAAAGCCACTACGTTATCTGACGAGTGTGACTACACTCCTCCCCCATCCCACTCATTTGGGCTGTTTTGTAGATCTGGGTTTCCTTGGGTCCAGCTGGCTCTGAAAGCAAGGCTGCTTCTAGGCTTCCTGGAAGGCAGAAAGGGGATTGTCCCGTTTTTACAGCTGGGGAAACTGAGGTCCAGAGAGATTATGTTATCTTAACACTCTCATATTTAGCTAGTTATAGACCATTTACAGGATACTTTTGCTGCTCACCAGGAAGAGTGGCAGAGCAGGCCTCATTATACCCATTTCACAGATGAGGCCATTGAGGCTATGTGGCTGCTTCACTCTCTGAACCTTAGTGAAGCCAGGCGGAGAGCAAGCGCTGCGTCTGCATGCGGTCCTCTCCATGCGGTCCTCCCATGCGGTCCTCTCCATGGCAAACATGGATCTGACTTGGTGATTTGCTGAGTTCCAGTGAGGTGAAGTCTCAGCCTGAAGGTCTGACTCCCAACCCCCAGCTGCAGCGGTTCCCCCAGGATGGCCCCCGTGATCATGCCTTGGTGAGGGAGAGGGGAGAAATGGCCCCAGGGCACCGGGGGCTCCTCCTTGGGTCAAGGGGTGTGGTGACCTTCTTCAGAAGGAAAGAAGAGGAAGTAAGGTGACCATTTCCCTGGCCTCACCCTACTCTGAGCACACCCCATTCCAGCAACGCCCCCACAAATTCACTTCCCTTTTGCTCATTGGCCAGCTCGAGTACACCACAGCATGGAACTCCTGATGAGCAAAGGCTGCTGAGCGCCTGCTACTCCGGTTCCCTGAGAGCTGTGCTAAGAACAAGGAAACGGCCTCTGTCGTTAGCATCTTCGCCATTTCCACGAGGTAGAGGCTGGGAAACCATTGGAAACTACTTGCTCCTCTGTCAGCTCAGCATGGCCCCTCTTCTGCTTCACCCCACGCTTCCCACAGTCCACTTCCTTCCTCAATGAGAAGGGAAAATCTTTCAGGTCAGCTCAGCTCAGCTCTCTTATGAATGATTGGTGACACATTTGGAAGGAATGGGCTTAGCTTATTCTTTTTTTTTTT